TCAGGTAGAAGATGCTATAAAATTACACGTGCTCATTAACCAACTCAATATCCTGGTGAGCTAGACAAATAGATCTATACTTTTTATAAAGTGACGGGGACGAGAACTTAAGTAACGTGCCAAGATCACACAGTGAATCAGAGGCAATCCTGGGAATAGCATCCAAAAGTCCTCACTCCCATTTTCTTTGGTCTTGTTTACATTGCAAGCAAGAAAGGGTGTTAATCTATAGCTCACCAACTTCTTGCATAGTAACTTGCCATGTGGATAATGATACAGTTCAGTGAACATCCCAGTATGTGGCTTAGAATGTATACTTTCACCAGTGAATGAAACTTTGATCACACATCCCAGGGGACATAGTGTGCCATTGAATAAAATGCAGTGGTGATGGGGGAATACACCAACTTAATTACTGCAGTTAAATATAAAGTTTTATTTATTTACAAAAAGGTTGGTTGATCATGCAGTTTGGGGATAAAAATCTCCATGAATCAATTATTGTTTTCTGGTCTTAAGTTGTAATAAATTTCCTTTTTCTGTTTCTTTTTTTAACTTCAGGCCAAATATGGTGATCCATGTATGTGATGAAGCAAAAAATTTGAAGGAAGATTTTATTTGCCCTCGAGACCTTTTGATTTCTGAAATGAAGTACTTTGCTGAATATCTGTCTGTAGATGCCCAGCGCTGGGAAGAGGTGGACATTTCGGTTCACTGTGATGTTCACATCTTTGACTGGTTGATGAGATATGTTAAAAGGAACACTAAGGAATATGAGGTGCATAAAATACCCACTTTAGGTAAAATAATCTGTTTATCTGCTATAGATTCATTATCTGCTTTGTCTGATCTGTGCTTTAGACTAAAATTATATGTACAGAATTGACTGCAAGATGATATCCCTCCTTAATTCAGCTCCAGCATCCTAGGCCCAGTCTGTAGGGACAAGAAACACTTCTGGCACTTAAAAAAAACAACAACCGAAAAAACACATGTTTCCCTGGCTATTCTAGAAAGTCTCTGCTCTGACCGCTATTGATAATTTTAGGGAAATATTCCTTTCATGATTACAGTGGTGAAAGCTCTACTAAATATTGACAGCCGGCATCATAATCAAGATAATCTAGACCAGTGTTTCTCAAACTTTTTTATAAAGTATCCTTTTTAAAAAAAAAGAAAAAATAAGTACCCCCAGTACGTACAGTTTTCAGACACACAAATTTTTTCTACCATTGCAACACATTTGTTTAAACAACTTAATCGTAGCCGGGCAGGCAATGAAATTTTGGGGTGTAAAAAGTACAAAAATAATAAAGTGTTGTAAAACTTAAAACAAATTCATTTTTCTCCAAATTTCAGTTGTGTTGACGTACCCCCCGCCCTCCCAGACTTCTTTCGAGTACCGCTAAGGGTACTTGTACCACTGGTTAAGAAACACTGATCTAGACCCACTCTGTTAACACATGTGCTGAACAGCCAAAGTGGCTTAGTTGGGATAGTGTTTGATCAGTTAAAATACTCTGTTTAATTATGTTTGAGTTGACATATTGACAAAAGACCTGTCTATACTAACAATTATTATTTCTGAGGATCGTGTCATAACTGTTTGGTACTGCCTATGTAGATGGCACCAAAATGCTGTTTCCAAAGATCTGAGGCATAGAAGTGGAATGATAAGAACTTGTTGAGTAAAATAATGCCCTCCTTTAAAGAGGGATTGAGTTTATTGGGTTACTCCCAATTTATCATGTTTATCAAAGGAATAAATTAATATTAACCTTTTCACCTTGTTCTGCTGTTTCTCTTTTAGAACCGGGAAATGTCATTTCTATTCTTATTTCTTCTGACTTTTTGAAGATGGATTCATTAGTGAGTATAAAAAGAGATGAAATTCCATGCCATAATAGCACAATTTACCACCAAATGCTTTTCATAAACCTTCATATCTTATATGCTGAGCTTTGATAGTGTACTTGCAGCTATATAAAACAGAGAGAGGGAAATAACTTGTCCCCCAAAGAGTTAACCACTTTGTTCATGAAAAGTCAGAATTTAATAATTGCATAGTCTCACTGATTTCAGTGGGGCTGCTTGCACAGTAGGTTGCTACTGAATGTGATTTAGGGAGCCAGAATCTGCCTCCAAATGAATGCTTTAATTTAAATAATAGCTGACTGATAATATTAGCATCTGCCTTTTGATAGCTATCTTAAAGAAAACATAAAGTCTCCAAATTTTCAGTGTTTTAAAACCAGTGGTTCTCAATCTTTCCGGACTATTGTGCCCTTTCAGGACTCTGATTTGTCTTGTGTACCCCAAGTTTCACCTCTCTAAAACTACGTGCTTACAAAATTGGACAAAAATAGGACAAAAATTCAATATTAATGTAAAATTGCTTACTTTCATTTTACCATATAATTATAACATCATTTGGGATATAAATATTGTACTTACAGTTCATTTTATAGTTTACAGCAGTATAAACAAGTCATGTGAAATTTTAATTTGTGCTGATGTTACTAGGTTTTTTTTCTCTGAAACCTCTTGTAAAACAAGGCAAATGTCTAGGTGAGTTGATGTACTCCCAGGAGGATCTCTGCATATACCCAGGGATAGACATACTACTGAGAACCACTGTTTTATACTAAGTGCCACATCTTCCCTCTGGAGTGCAATTCTCCAGTCAGCATGTTTAAGGCCCATTGAGTTTAATTCGAGATGTGTGCATGAAATGAAAGGAGAGAGGATTATGTGATGGGGGTTTTTTTTTTTTGGTGTAGATATGATGTTTTACCTTTATTGTTCACTTCCAAAAGCCAATACAAGTTATTAATTTATATAAAGACTTGTCTTTACGGTTTATCACATAAATGAACCTACCAGTGATGTATATGCTTGATTTTTTTTTTTTCTTTTCTTGTTCCAATTGTGTAATAGTGAAGACAAACACTGTGCAATCAAGTTAAGGGAGGAATTTAAAATCTTCTTGCTGTCAAAACTGTCTTTTTTATTTGCAGCTCATGCTAAATTTCATGGGTGCAATGAAATTTATGTAATGTTAAACTACAAAAAATGGTTTTTAGTTTTGGATGATGAACACCATGGAGATGGCACTTCTTTAAGATAATTCAGAGATAGGAACTAGGAACCTTTAGGAGGGAAGTAGTTCAAAGTTGTATTTAAGTCATACATCCCAAGAATGAGACTTGCTTTCTGAACCATTATTTTTAGAGTTGAACTAAGCCAGTTTTTACAAAATACCATTAATTCTATCAAAGTTCTGATCAGTGTTCCCGCTAATATTTTCTATCCTTGGGTGAGTTGAGTTTTATTTCTTTTGGATGGGTTGAAATGTCTCTCATGCAACACCAATATTGAGAGAGTGTGTGGATATGCACCACAAATACAGATAAACAAAACCCGCAGACGTACAAACACACATACATGTTTTAAGCAGTCCATATGTGTGGAAGAAAATATATTAAAACAAGGGATAGTTAACAAGGGGCAGTGCTTATGGTATTTAGTATGAAATCAAATAAAAATAAAATTAACTCTACCTTTGGAGTACATGTATCATCATCCTTTCTAACAACTCAATCTAGTAAACACACCAAAATGCATATTATCCACACATAGCTTAGCTTTAAGATGCTAAACAAATCTGAGTCAACTAGAAATAGCATTTGCAAGGAGAGCATGGCTAATACTTGCCTTTCCAGTGTCAGTAAATATTGTAAGAGGCATTCACTAAGGCTTATATAGTTTCTTTGGGGAATGTTTAGGATTCATGCTGTAAAAACAGGTAAAAGTTCTCCTGGTTTGAAACTTTCACCTTGTGTGTGTCGCCAAATTAAAGACTCAGAAGGGTAGTCATGTTAATTTGTAATTGAAAAAACAACGAAGGGTCCTGCAGTGTCTTAGGCTACATCTAGACTGCAGGCCTCTTTCGAAAAAGAGCATCTAGACTACAACCAGTACTGGATGCTCTCTTTTGAAAAAGCACAGTTTGCATTACATAGCACCTTTTTTTGAAAGAGGCGTTCTTCCTCATAAAATGAAGTTTTCCGCGGTCGGAAAAAACTGCCGTGTTCTTTTGATTTACTTTTGAAAGAATGCAGCAGCAGTCTAGACGCAGGTAAAGATTTTTCGAAAAAAGACCACTTTTTTCGAAAAATCCCTGAAGTCTAGACACACTCTTAGAGACTAACAAAATTCAGAGTTAGTCTAGACTTCAGGGAGTTAAAACCCCCAGAAAAAATTAACATGGCTTCAGGGTTTGTAGACAGATGTATGATTCAAAGAGCTTGCAAATAAGGTTTCATCCTACAAAACAACTAGCATCATGCCTAGGGTTGCCAGATGGTTTCAACAAAAATACCGGACACACTTGACATTACATCACAATCTACATTACAACTTATTTAGAAAATACCGGGCATTTATATTTTCTCATTTATATTTTCTCAATTTGTTTCCCGAACTGAGAGCTCAAATACTGGACTGTCCAGTTCAAAACTGGACATCTGGCAACCCTAATCATGCCTAGTACTCGCTACTTCTGACACGAGCCAGAACTCTATCACATAGCAAAGATCTGGCTTTAATGCAATACAATATACCATGTATTAATTAGTAATACAGGATTTTAAAAAATCATTACATTCAGAGTTTTAGGTATCTGCAGCACTCCAAAAAATTCTGTTAAAAAAACCTTTCTTTCTTACCTTAAGCCATTAATACCTATGTAAACTTTGTTTGAAATGTAATCATGCAAATGTCCTGGCACACACCCACCCCGGGCAGCCTGCTTTCCCCCCTTCCCCCCTCCCCCCCCACGCTCTCTCTTTCACTCACCTATTCCATGCAGTCAGCCCGTTATCTGCTTTCCCAGGAGGCTTGAGAGTGATGAGTTTCTGCCTCTCTGATCTCACACAGGCAGGACTCTTTAAACCCTGCTCCCTTCTGACACCCTTCAGCCAGTCACTCCCTCTCTCCTCCCCTTCTCCCCAGCCACTTATTGTCTCCTTATTTTGTTTTTTATCTGTTCTGGGAGCTGCTGAGTTTCAAGCAGGCAGCTAGCTCCATTTAGCTGCTTGCTTAGTGAGAGGACACCTTGCCTCCCACCCCCCGCCAGCTAGCTGAGCTTCCTGCCTGCACAAGACTTTTGAACTTCTGAGCAGAGCTCAGAAAACAGCCACACAGCTTACAGGAAACTTAGGTCCTGAATCTTGCTCCTAATACATTTCTAATATAAAAGCAATAAATCTTCTGAGATAAGGTTTGTCATTAAATTCAGTATTTATGATATCTCCTTTCCTTTCCAGGTAGAAAAATGTGTTCATTATTGCCACAAAAATATGAGTGCTATCATAGCTACCCCATGCAACATGAACTGTGTCAGTGGTGACCTCCTTAAGCGTATCGCTGATCTTTTCACTCACAATGAAGTGGAAGATGTGAGGGACAAAAAAGATAAATTTAAGAGGTAACTTTTTTTTCTCTAGCTTTATTAAAAATCACTATGGATCCTCTGCTATAAACTCTTTTTTGTTTTTAGATATTTTATCAGAACAGATAAGACTGTTAAAGATGATAGCAATTGATGTACTTTGTTATGTTTTAATACATGATCATAAAATGGCTCAAGAATAAAGCAAAATTTCAAGACAAAGTAAGTCCTAGATAGGAGCCAGCAAGTGAAAGAGCAACTCTCCAAATGTGAAGAATCATGAAGAGTCCATATTAGGAGAGAACTCAGTGGATGGGATAGTAGGTCGCTATGAAGAAAGAAGATTAGAGTGAACTTTGAAAACAAACATTTTGGACTAGAAGATGGGTAAAGTGCCACTGACAATACTTCCATCACTTAGTTAACGTTTTCCTAGTTCCTGGAGAATGAAGAATTTGGCTGCAGTATTCTGGAATCCTTGAAATTTCTGAGTTTGAATTTCGGAGGCCTAAGAAAGCCAATGATAAAATAGTTGTGATGGAATAAAAGTAAAAACAGGTATAAGGATTTCAGCTGAGCCAGAATCAAGATAAAGACTAATTATTGTAATAGACTTGCAGACAAGAAAGATGAGGTAGAAAAGCATTTTGATTATTCAATTCTCTCTCAGCAGTCACTTGATAACAAGTAGGACCTCTTCCTGTTATCCTCCTATTTGTGGATCTGTAGATGGCTGACCATCCCGATTCTGGAGCCGCAGGTCTTATTGCAGAAGGGGCAGGTGCTGGTGGCTATTGGAGGGATGCAAGGTGGCTTTTTGCCTCTCTTTTCTCCTCTGCCTCTCCTCATCTGCACTGCGGCAGAACCTCTCAAATTGCACTACCTCCTCAAGGATTACTGCTTTCCACTGGGGATGGTCCTGGGCAAGGTTCTCCCAAGTGTTGACAGTAATGCCTCACTTTTTCACGTTTGCCTTCAACATGTCCTTAAACTGCTTCTTCTGGCCCCCAACGCGCCTCTGTCCTTCCTTCAGCTCGGAAAACAGAATCTGTTTTGGGAGGTGCTGACCAGGCATCCAGACCACATGAGCAGTCCAGCGAAGTTGTTGGTAGATGATGATAGCTTCAATGCTGGTCATGTTTGACTCTTTCAGAACGCTAGAGTTTGTGTGCCTGTCCTCCCAAGGGATATTTAGGATTCTTCTGAGGGAGCATTGATATTGTTCTAGTGCATTCGGGTGATGCTTATATTACATGCTAATAATATACCCTTTTTGATAGTCATGTAACTGCATCAAATTTTAGTGATTACATGACTATTCGATGGTCCCTAGGACAAAGGTGGCAGCCAGTACACTCCAAGCCCCACTCATGGGGAGCCCCCTACAACTCCATGATGCTGCCTCTCTATCAGACTGTTGTAACTAACTCAGTGGGTGTAGAGTTAGGTTCTCTTGTCAACTTCAAAAAGCACAGCCAAAGACCTCTCTGGTCAAACTTATATAAAGGCAGCAGAGGTCCACATTGGAAACAAGTTTTCCCTACTGTATTTCTTACAGAAAAATTGTATAATGGTCAGTTCTTGAAATTAACATCTTAAAAACATCTTGTTTAAAGTAGCAGAATGCAATTATCAATTAACTGCAAACCAAGTTTAGTCCTGAACAAAGTTTTATGTAGTGGCTGTTTGTCATCAACAGTAAACTTTTCTGCAAGAAGATTGAGAGACTGTTTGATCCAGAATACCAGAATCCAGATTCTCGAGGAAGTGCAGCAACATTGTACAGGTATAGTAATGTTCTTTTTTTACTTCGCTTCCACTCCGTTTATGTAGGCAACATGTACATTCCAAAGCTCCACTCTTACTGTTGTATTTCATTTTATATTTCACATTTTTTTTGTAGGTGCTGTTTATGTAAGAAGCTTTTAACTAAAGAAACAGAAAGAAGAGTCCCTTGTGTTCCAGGAAAAATCAACATAGATCAACATGGAAATATTATTTATGTTCACATAAGGTGCTTCATGTATAGAACACGTAGCTTTACTGTAAATATGTATCCTATTAAGTATTTTTCTGAATGCTACATACTTAGATAGTTAAATATTGTAGAATCTCAAAGTTATGAACACCTTAGGAATGTAAGTTGTTCATAACTCTGAAATATTTGTAACCTTGAACAAAACATATTTCTTCTTTTAAGGCTTACAACTAAAGGTTTAGTCAATACAGATTTGAGACTTTAATTAGCAGAAGAAAAATGCGACTTTTTTTAGTCGTTTGTGTTTAACACAGTATTATATTTACTGCTTTTTGGTCTCTTCCGCTGCCTGATTGTGTACTTATGGTTCCAAGTAAGGTGTGTGGCTGACCATTCAGTTCATTACTCCAGTGTTCAAAACTTTGGGGTTCCAATGTACTCCATACAATACAAATTAATAATCTGTAGTATGATCTAGACTGTAAGAAAGAAATAGTGACTAGAATAGCAAAAGCAAGAGTGAGTTTGAAGGCGATAGATAAGATCTGGAAAAGTAAAGCGATTAGCTTAGGAATGAAGCTGAGCATCTTGAAAACGTGTGTATTTAGCAGCATGTTGTACGGAAATGAGACATGGGTGATAACAAAAGATTCGAAGAGAAGGATATTGGCATTTGAGAGGAGTTCTTATAGAAAGATCCTGAGAATAGGATGGATGCAGAAGATCACTAATGAGGAATTATATAGGAAGATACAGCTGAAAGAGAACCTACTGTAGAAGGTTATACAATGGAAGTTACAGCTATTCGGGCAAATCTGAAGAATGAATGATGAGCAGAAAGTTAAGACCCTAGTATTCGGCATAACGAGTGGTCCGAATAGGAGAGGCAGACCCCACAGAGAATGGGTAGATGATAAAGTAGATTGGTGCAGAGCTAATCTACAGAAACTAAGCCACTCCACACTGGACAAGGAAAGATGGAAGGAAATAGTGAGGGAGGCATCGGACACCAGTGGGTGTTAAGCCCATGGTTGTTGATGATGAGTAACTACCTTACTGACTTTTTTTATTCTTGTTGCCTTTCTTAGGTTCTTACAAATGTAAAGTTACGATGTTAGTTTGACCAAAATTGCATACAAGTTTCTGGAACAAATGTTGAAAGAGAAAGTAGTTAAAGACATAGGGGTGAACAGTAACTGAGATAAAATACAACATCGTTTTACAAAAGGTAGATCGTGCCAGACCAACTTTATCTTCTTTGACAAAATTATTATTTTTTGAGACAAAGGCATTGAAGTACATCTAGTCTACCTGGAATTCAGTAAGGCATTTGGTACAATTCCACATAGGAAATTATTAGTTAAATTGTAGAAAATAGGCGTTAATATGAGAATTGAAAAGTAGATAAGGAACTGATTTAAGTGGAGACTACAACACATCATACTGAAAGATGAACTTTCAGGCTTGAAAAGAGATACCACTTGGAACCAACAGAGGAGAAGGAAGGCTGGGGATTTGTGGTTGATTAAGAGGACTGAACCATTAGTGTGGAAAGGTTCATGACACTTGAAGATGCACCAGGTGAAGTATTTCCAGTAGAGATAGAGAAGTGTTAATACGATTATACAAGGCCCTGTTGAGAAATCCTGTGGGATTCTTATGTAGTACTGATTTCCCATGTTTAAGAAAAATGAATCCAAACTGGAAGAGGTGAACAAGGCTACTCAGATTATTTGAAGTATGGAAAACCTACATTATAAGGGGAGACTCAAAGAGTAAGGCTGTTTAGCCCAACTTTATAAAGTCTGAGGGGAAATATATTTAAATATATTAGAAAAATATCAGGGATGGAGAAGAGTTATTTAAGTTAAGCCCCAGTGGGGACACAAGAACAAATGGATATAAACTGGCCATCAACTAATTTAGGCTTAAAATTAGATGAAGGTTTCTAACCATTGGAGAAGTGAAATTTTGGAACAGCCTTCCAGGAGGGGTAGGGGGAGGGTAAAACACCTAACAGTATTTAAGACTGATACATTAACATTGAGCAGTTTTTGGAGGGGGTGGTATGATGGGACTACCTGCAATGATATATTGGCATCTTCCAGTAACAAAAATTTCCAACAGCCAAATCCAGAACACTAGACTAGGAGGGCTCTTGGAGAATTCTTTCCCAGGTATCTCCCTGGTGGGTCTTGCCCATGTGCTCAGAATCTAACTTATTGTTGTGTTTGGGGTCAAGATGGAAATTTTCTTCCAAGTCAGATTTGCAGAGTCTTGGGGGAGGGGTTGCCTTCCTTTGCAGCATGGCACAGAGATAACTTGCTGGTTTTAACTAGTATAAATGCTAAATTCTCTGTAACTTGGAGTCTTTAAACCATGATTTGAGAACTTCAGTAACTCAGCCAGGGGCTAGGGCTCTAATTCAAGTGTGCATGTGAAGGGTTCTGTGGCCTGCAACATGCAAGAGGTCAAACTATATGATCACAATGGTCCCTTCTGACCTTAGTCTGAAGTCTGTGTTGTACTTGGCAAGTTGTTACACAATACCATTGTTGTCATTCCAACAAGAACTCCATTGAAATTGCTGGGAGTTCTTGCAGAGTTGAACTTTTTAAATGTAAAAAATTCAGAGCTAATCACTTAATCATCTTAAGAACTTTAAACTTTGTTTAGCCAAAGATAAATGAAATTAAGGGCTACATATCAAAATGTAGCACTTTATAGACTAACAGATGTATTGGAGCATAAGCTTTCGTGGGCAAAGATCTACTTTGTCAGATGCATGTTGACATGTTGCTGTTGCAGATCCAGACTAATACTCATATCAAAATGAGCTATTAGAGAGTGATGGATCTGCGCCATGAACTATAAAGTCTGGCTTGACTGACCTTGATCTGCAGATGTCAAATCAAATACATAGCTCACTTTAAACAAGTAAAAATAAACTTTACTGGCTCAGGTGTGTGGGGTTTTTTTGTTTTTGTATTTTTTTTTATTACAACAGCTTTCAGAGAAGCTTTCCAAATCTCTCCTTTGCTATATGAGTTCCTCACCACAAGTATTTACTTGGTTTTTGTTTGAGTTCAGGCATGGTCCTATATGGCTGGATTTCCCTGCCTCCACTTAATGAAGGCTGACACACTGTAGTTCCCTTTTATTTACCAGAGTTTTACTGTTGCTAATTTAATTTCCATCATCTTCATCAGATCTGATAGACTAATTTTAGTCTAATAGAAGTTCAGTGTCAGCTGTCAAAATAATGTAAATTAACTCAGTATTTTCTCCTGTCACTTATTCCAATAACAGGGAGAGGTTTCTATCCAAAGAACCATGTTATTGACGACTCGAGCAGTGAAGCAGGTTCCATTTTGCATTTTAGGGCAACTGGAGCCATTGCCTTATTCTGAAAATGTATAATAGTGCGTATTAGCCAAATTTAAATCTCTTCTTGATATTACATTAGTTATCTTGTTATGTATGTGTGTCCATGTTAGGTCCATAACATACAGCCTCTTAAAGTTATTTCTGTTCTCAGTAGATCCCTTTTATTGCTTCTGAGCATTTACCTTGTATTTGCCATGGCTGCCCCTGGGCACAGCTTAATTTATACTTTAAGTGTTAACTTAGTGCTGACTAGTAGTAGCTCTAATGCTAACATGTCCACAGCAGCACAATTACACAAGAAGAGGTTTTATTCACTGGTCTTATGGCGGTGCCTAAAGGTCACTCTTGGTGTCAGTACTCATTATCCTTGCCTTTTTATAAATACAGGGTAAAAGTTTGCCCCTGCTCAAGATTTTTCAATTTAACTAATTCAGTAGGTGAAGATGAGAACTGTATTTTTACCTTTACTGGCCATATTGTCTCACTGCTAAATGCTCTGTTTTTGGGTTTTAAAAGAAAATTGGTCTCTCTCATTTTGTAGTGGAAAGGAGTCTAGAGCAGTATCTAGTCCAGTAAAGTTTAAATCTAGTTTAAAAACTTTTTAAAAACCTCAGATTTACATAATTTCTTGATCAATGTGTATCTTTACAGTCTTTACATAAGCATTTCATTTCTGCCTCTTGTATCCTGGTATGTAGGGATGTTAAAATTAGATTATTCAAGTAGTTGATTAATCTAAGTTGATGGAATTTCCATTGACTATTCGATGAGTTGATAAGGGTGCTTCCACTCTGAAATGTAGCAAGAGCCCGCCCACCCAGTCGGGAACTTAGAGTTCTCAGCTAGCCCCGAGATCCATGTTTCACTTCCTCTTTGAAATGTACAAGAGCCCCAGCAGCTTCCTGGGGCTCTTGTGCGTTTCGAAGATGGAACACCGCTGCACTCCTGCCCCCTCCCACAGAGCTGAAGGGAACCAGCTTTTAAGCCTGCTTTCTTCCCCCTCCCCCCCAGCACTTCTCTTCTTTCCACCCCCCCTTACTGCCTACTTTTTGATAGAAGGAGCAAGGAGGGAAGAGTGACTAGTGTGTCGACTATCCGATAAGTTTTTGCTTATCGGATAATTGATTGGTCGTTTACATCCCTACTAATATGTAGGAACAAATGTACTTCCAGTGCTGTCCTGGCAACCAGTTACATTGACTTTTGAAGTGCAGAATGGAATGAACTGTCTAGTATTTAAAATAACATTGTTGCACTCCACTACTGCAGAAGCTAGTGGCAAGGGGTTAAAATATGTCTGAAATTTTGTGTTTGGTTTCTTCTACTCCCTGTATCCTCCATATATTTGACTATTACAATTTTCCCCTGCCAATAGATACCAAAGAAGATGTTCAGTAGCCCAGGGAGCAAGAGATCCTGAAACTACATGTGTGTGTCTTTGCTGCTAAGCCATCAGACGGCTCTTGCACTAACTTGATGGACAATTTTATCATCTCTAGTTATTATGAATTTCATAGCTTCTGAGGTAGTAAGGTCTGATGTTTGAGTATGCTATATCCTAAAATTGTTCTTATATTAACATAAGTGTATTGAAATCCCTTGTCACAGGTAATAGTTTGGGTTGCTTCATATTGTCTGAACGTATTGCTAATTGTCCTACAACACATTCTTGCTATAGTAACTCTTCCTCAAGAGTGTGTTGTTTGTCTCTCACCTCCACCTGGCTTTTTCTTTGTGAAATTCATTGATACAAATATAGGACTAAAATCTCTTCACAATCTAATGTTCAACTTAACTGTGCACCTTTTATTACAGAGATAAAACTTGGGAAGTCCATGAATACTTGACCAGTCTTTATGAAGAATTAAAATCTTGGCGAGATGTGTACTGGCGTCTTTGGGGGACTGTCAATTGGCTGAGTTGTTCAAGATGTAATCAAGTGGGTATTATTGTTTACACTCTCTTTTTTGGGAGGGTGTCACAATGGGAACAAAACCAAAATACACAAAATGTGTTTGGGTAGAGAAGGGATTGTGCTTTTATTCATAATTAAAAACTTTTTCCCAAGTGACCTTACTTTTGAGAGCAAATTCCCCAAATGTGATCTACCAATTTTGTGACCAATAAGACTTTTTTTTGGTAGCTTCTAAAGGGAGGAACATAATGGGATTTATTATGAAAACTATGGAGTAGCTATTGCTACATAACTTTTAAAATTCCCTCCCCATGTTCCCTGCCCCCAAACATTTCAAGCAGTCAGGAAAAAATGGGGAAATAAGTTTGTACTGGAATATCTGAGTTTTAAATGAAAAGGGCATAACTAAATTATAAAGACCAATCTCTGACCAGATTTTGACATGAAATTCATAGCCTTTTGTGAGAGTAAATAATTGATGTATATCTAATTGCCTGTCAGAGCCAGAATTTTGCAGTACATGTAGGATTAGACAGAATATTAGATCCTATCATCTTCTTTTTTTTTTCAATATAGTCTTTCCTATGTACTGAATTTTCACACTGCCAGTACCACACACAACCAGTTCTTTACCCTGGTGTGGCAAGCGCACTGGGCACCACTGGCACAGGAATATATCCCTGCTGTAGTCAAAAAGTTCTTCGATTTGATCCTACTCCACTTCCAAAGGTACTACTTTAATGTTACACTTATAGCAGTGATTCCGCATAGGGTAGGATCATGAGGTAAAGATCCTCCCTGAAGTAAGGGGCAGCAGCCCCAAAGGGAGACTTATTTCCTTGCAAGCCTTCTTGCCTTTCTGCTGCTCTGTGGGGAGTACAACATGCTGAGTGTATTCACAGTACATTGGATATTCCCTAGCAGGTATGTTGGGGAGCTAAGTCTCTGCCACCACTTGCATGTGAGGTTGGGGATGTGAAGGCTCTACAGAGTTCTTTCCCTTCATGCCCTGCTACCTGTGAGGCAGGGAGCTGGAGTCAAGGGGCACCTATCTCCTTTATGCCATTTGCCCTCACATATGCCAGGTCATGATTTGACCCAGAGATGCTTAATGCTGGAATTGGATGTGAAAGGGTCTTCTCTAAGTATGGCCCTGTAAGCACAAAAGGAACTATCCCTATGTGCAATGCAATTTCTTCTTCTCCAGGGAGTTTCAAAATTAAGCTCCCATTTAACTTTAGTTGGAGTGGGGTAAGGCCCATCAGTTAAAAAACACAGTAAGTTGTGTGTTGCTTTGTGTCCTGATGAAGATGCCAAGCACTAGAAATTCGGAAGGTTCTGAGGGTTCCTAGAATATGGAACCCATTGGTGCAGTACTTAATGAAATGAGTTTTGGTCATAAACCAATATATCTAAGATAGGATCTCTCTCTCAACAGGGCTGTAAAGTGCGGGATCATGTGATCGGTTTACCAGCTGGAGGTGAAGGTGGGGATACTCTGCCATATCAAACTACTAAAATATTGAATGATCTGCTTCAGCATAGAGATGTTGTTGTTGTACCTTTTTCTAACGATCAGAATAGGTGAGAAAATTGAATTTAAGTTACTGAAATTACTTAATATTTGCCATTAGCACTTGATCTCCCTCCCCCCTCCGTTTTAAACCAACATTGTAGTAGAATTCGTAAAACTTTGTATCCAATGTTTTAATTGTAAATCAGGGACAAGAACCACAAGTATTGCTATCTGTCACGTTTCAAGATGGCACTAAGGACAATTTTATCTTGCCTCTATTCATATTTTCATACAGTTATTTCCCAAAACACTCATCATGTAGCTGTTCTGCAGATTCTTCATAGAGTGGAGAGAGGGAAAAAAAGGCTGATTTTAAACTTTGTAAAATAGAAAAACTACAGTTTTCTTATTTCATGAACTCTTTTTCCTTATAGTGATTCTGGGATTGGGCTGTGTGATGAGAAGGGGATTGAGTGTGATGTGCTGGTAGAACCGAATATGCTATGGGGCCCAAAAACTGGAGAAATCAATGCTGTGAGTAATTGCTACTTTTGTTTTGTTGTATTTTATTCTCTGTTAATGACTAGTGGAGATGTTTAGAAAGCTCATCTAATCAAGATACCTACTGATATCTTAAAAATAAATTAACAGAAATCCCTAACCTAGTTAGATCTAAAACCTAGTATTCTGGGGACATTGTCAGCTAATTCTGGGTAAAAATACAGGTTTAGTGGGGAGGGAGAGATGGTGGTTTTTGTCTTTTTAATAAAACTGTTAATTATGTTTAATGCCCACACATCTAAACCATAGACATCATTCAGAAACTGAAGCTAGATAGGAACCCAACAAATATAATAAGTGAATCATGCAGAGAACATGTTACGCAAGCGTGCTGTTCCCCTCAGAGTGGTATGTATCATCCTAAATGGATTGGAACATAGGTACTTGAAAGGCTGCTGTGCCACATTTGAGATCAGAAGAGTTCCTCATTTTCAACTTTGTAAACTGCTCTGAGATCTTCTAATGAAAAATGCTATATATTAGGAAGGTTTTGTATTATTAAGCGAGGTGGAGCTGCTAGCGGACCATTCACCACTAAGACATCTTAGCTTAAGATTTCCTTTCTCTGTTTGGTCTGCCTCTGTATTTTTGTTTGTATTTAGTTTTATTAGAAATTGCATTGAACATCAATGCAGATTTTTAAAAGATCCATATTAAGCATAACACTATAAATAGATAAAATACTTTTATAAAACATAATTGCCATCCTACCTTCCTCCTCCTAATTGTACATGTCACAAAACACACAATCCGCTACTTTGTTACGACCTGAGTTCCTTCAGTGCCAATGGTACATGTTAAAATCCCCATATAGGAGTGGTGTATTTTTGTTCCTAGAAGAGCTTCCTATTGTATAAGCATCCTTTTCCAAAGGCAAACTGGTCTTATGATTTAGATCAATCTTCTGTTGACAGACTAGTTTATTTCATCCAGTAATATACAACACAGCTCTTTCCTGTTAGTGTGTACTTGTGTTGGAGTTAATTCATTAAGCCAAGTTGGGATAGATCATTAATAACACTAACCACAGTATAAAGAACATTTGCAGACTTGTGTATTTTTGCAGTGTTCATGCACTGCAGTCCATAACTTATGAATAACATAGCAGTTCCTGACAGTTGGCCTTGAACAGCCAGCCTTTGTAAGGGCTCGTCTAGACTACGCAGAAGATTCGAAAGAGGAGCTTTCAAAAGTGAAAGTAGTCAGGACGCAGCTTTTTCAGGACCCCCCCCTTTTTCGAACAGCCACATAAGCCTCATTTTAAAGCTCCCACGGAATTTGCATATCCTCTTTCGAATCTTCTGCATAGTCTAGATGAGCCCTAAGACTCAGCCTAGAGAGAGCCGCAATTGTGTCATGGAACAAATGTTTGCAAATGCTGGCCTACACGTACTGTTGTGGCTAACTCAGAAAGTTGCTACCATAACATTAGTGTGTTTTGTTGGCTACATAGTGTTAGGTAGTAAAGCATATTATAAGATGATTTACCAAATACTTTTTAAATTGATGATGTTTATTTTTTTACATTTTTATATATATATAAAAATGTAAAAAAATAAACATCATCAATTTAAAAAGTATTTGGTAAATCATCTTATAATATGCTTTACTACCTAACACTATGTAGCCAACAAAATTAAATTTTACTCAGGTTTATACAATTAAGCACGTGCATAAGTCTGAACTAATATTCAATTAAATGTAGACATAGTAAATTAAAAGTCTTTGAACAACTCCTTGTAAAATCCAGAACATTTATTCATTGTTTGTTATACATCCATTTGAATGTCTTATTTCATGGTGTGTATTAACCACCTCTCTGCCTTTTGTCTCTAGTTTCTTTCTCTGAAAAACTGGACTCTGCAACTGGTTAGTGAGAACTAGTTCATCCATGCCGTTGATCTGTAATGCATTTAAAATGTTTGTTTCTCTTTTATGTTAACAAATAACCTTGACATCACTACCATTTTTCCTGTATCTGCTTTAATTTTAAAATGATAGGATAACACACATTTCAGTGTGAGCTCTAAATAGTAAATGTGTAGATATGGTTCAGTAACTGTTGCTTTATAAGAGTAGCAGATCTGGAGGTTAAATATTAATAAATATCTTGATTAAAAAATACTTTTTTTTTTCCAAATGTTGCAATGAAATCTTGAGGAAGCTGCAGTCCTGTATGTTTCCTTTCCTTCCTATTGTTGCTGAGTCTCCTTTGTTATTTATTGTCATAGATGGGGGATTCACAATTTGAAAGTCCTGAGGCTGATGCACTTAATAGGACTCTGAAATTGATGTTTCAAAATAAGATGCTACATCAAGAGTGGGCAATTAAAAAAAACGGCAGCCCGCAGGGTTAGTCTCTGGTGGGCTGTCGCTGCTATGTTTACCTGCACTTCTGCAGGTATCTGAGGATCATAGCTCTGGGTGGCCGTGAATCGCAGTTCATAGCCAATGTGAGAGGTGGGAAGCATCATGGATCAAACTGCTGCTTCCCGCCACTCACATTGGCTGCGAATGGTGATCCTCCGATACCTATAGAGGCACACACAAACATGGAAGGGAGACTAGCCCTCAGGCTAACCCTGTGGACCGGACCCAGCCCATAGGCTGGAATTGGCCACTCCTGTGCTACACCAAACTTACTAACTACAATAAGAGCACTTTTTTAAATTAAAAAAAGAAAATATTTTTTATTCCACAGTGGAGCAGGATTTGTTATGGACTAATTAAAATAAAAAACAAATCTTATTTTAAATCCCCTTATAAATAAGACAAACATTAGTCTTCCATACTGCATTACGCTGAGGATATTGGCCTTAAATTTTCCAAAATGATTGTTGTTGTTTTTTAATGCACAGCCTGAGACACCTTTAAGGGCCTGATTATTTTAAATGTGTTAAAGGGATTATCTAGAATTACTAAACAGGACTATGTAACACTTTAAAGACTAACAAGATGGTTTATTAGGTGATGAGCTTTTGTGGTCCAGACCCACTTCCTCAGATCAAATAGTGGAAGAAAATTGTCGCAACCATATATACCAAAGGATACACTTAAAAAAATGAACACATGAAAAGGACAAATCAAATTTCAGAACAGAAGGAGGGTGGGGGGGGGGGGGGAGGTAAATGTCTGTGAGCTAATGATATTAGAGGTGATAATTGGGGAAGCTATCTTTGTAATGGGTAAGATAATTAATGTCTTTGTTTAAACTTAGGCATAAAGTGTCGAATTTAAGCATGAATGACAGTTCAGAGGATTCTCTTTCAAGTGTGGTCTGAAAAGGTCTTTGAAGCAGGTTGCAGGTAATCAAGTCATTGAGACAATGTCCTTTATGGTTGAAATGGCAAGAAACTTTTTTTCTTTGTGATCCTGTCTAATATCTGTTTTGTGGGCATTGATTCTTTGGCGAAGTGTCTGAGACGTTTGTCCAATATACATAGCAGACATGATAGCTATCATGTGCCGAAAGTGTCCGTCTGCTATGTACATTGGACAAACGTCTCAGACACTTCGCCAAAGAATCAATGCCCACAAAACAGATATTAGACAGGATCAGACCTTTTCAGACCACACGTCAAAGAGAATCCTCTGAACTGTCATTCATGCTTAAATTTGACACTTTATGCCTAAGTTTAAACAAAGACATTAATTACTTACCCATTATAAAGATAGCTTCCCCAATTATCACCTCTAATATCATTAGCTCACAGACATTTACCCCCCCCCATCCCCCTTCTATAATAATAATAATTAATTATAAATGTTATTCATCTAGAACAGGGGTCTCCAAACTTTTCAGCCCGAGGGCCGCATTAACTATCAAACAGCAGTTCGGGGGCCGACTACACACTTGAGGTCCAAATAAAAAACAATCAAAACATGGATGTTGTTTTTAATTATTTATTTAATATTATTTTATTCAGTTATTATTTAATAACACATTCATACACTACACATGAACACCTGTATTAGTGTGAATGGTGAAATTGTTTCCTGGATGCCAAAATAGCAGACATTTCTGGCTTTAGATTTGTTGTCCCTAACATCAACAGTGACCTGAGATTATCATCGGACAAGTTTGTTCTCAAATTGTTCTTCACGTATTTCATTCTTGAAAATGTTTGTTCACACAGGTATGTTGTTCCAAAGATTGAAAGGTACCTTGATGCAAAAGTTTTGACATTAGGAAAGTCTTCCTTGGGCAAAAACTGGTAAAAACCCACCAGTCCTATTTTGAACTTGTCCCTAAGGAGGTCATTTGCTTGCAACTCAATGACTTCCAGCTGCAGTTCATCTGGGCAACTGGCCACATCTGCTTCAAATGGGTTTTGAAACAATCTCACTTCTTCTGCCTTTGAATCCAAAAAGGTCTCCACGGGCCGGATGAGAGGGCCTCGCGGGCCGCATCCGGCCCCCGGGCCGTAGTTTGGAGACCCCTGGTATATATGGTTGCGACAATTTTCTTCCACTATTTGATCTGAGGAAGTGGGTCTGGCCCATGAAAGCTCATCACCTAATAAACCATCTTGTTAGTCTTTAAAGTGCTACATAGTCCTGTTTTTTGTTTCAGCTACACCAGACTAACACGGCTACATTTCTATCACTATTCTAGAATCACTAGGCATTCTTGGAAACATAGTCTGATGAGCTCAATCCTGTGCTGCTTCAAAGTCAGAAAGCAGCAGGCCCACCAATGGGGTAAGGGGAAGGGGGAGCAAAGGGGCAGTTGCCCCAGGGCCCAGTGATTCAAAAGAGCCTGGGGCTCTTGACCACCGCCACTGCTACTGTGAAAAATTGCCACCGGAGCACCTTGCTTGGGGCAGCACTGAGGGCTGGAGGAGGATACAGAGTGCAGCATGCCCCAGGTGGTGCTGGGAACTGTCTGCACCAGCCCCACCTTTTCCACTTGAGGCCTACCCCTTCTGGGAGGTTGGAGCTCTGCCCATCCCCCTTGCCCAGAGGCCCAGGAAGACAGTTGGTCTCACTTGGGAAGCAACAATGCTCCAGTTACACCAAAATATGTCTCCTGTGCTGGGACTTGTAAAGGGGGTAGTGCAGAGTCATCTATGCTAAGAGCTTAATCAGATTTTCCAGCTAATTGGGGCCCTTTGTATTATTCCATTAGTGCAAAAAGGCTGTCTCTGAGTTGAGGATCTGGCTCAACATATAAAACCAAATAAATGTAGACAGCTCCATTGATGAGTCCAGTCTGCGGTGCTTGATGAGCTCTTTTTCACATGTAGCGCATACAAATTAGTGAAAGCGACATTGCATCTCACCTTTTAATTTGTCTTACAGAAGCAATTGAGGCTCAGCTGTGCTGGAAACTGTACAAACTTCAGTTACAAAGGGCTTTTATTGTAAAATACTGAGGGGATAATATAACCTAATGAAATTAAGAGGGTGGGCTTCTTCTGTTTGCTTCTACGATGACCTATAAACATGCTGATTTTGAATGGCCCGTATTGGCACAGTGCAAGTTATTCACACTCAGCCATGAGTAGCGTCATGCAAGGGATGCTTTCCCCAGGACAGACCAGGTTGCAGTGTTGCAGTTCTCCCTACTTCTAGACTAGGGTTAGAACCCAGTCCATATAAAACACATAGCCAAGGAAGCCTGCAAATGTAATAATATGCTATTGGCATTACTTGGAAATATATTAAGCTCGTCTATTAGCTAAAAAAGGCTAGAAACTAACAAAAATAGCTGGCACTTCATTTTTATCTGCAACAAAAATCTTGATCTAGAAAGCCTGTAGAGTTTGAGGTGATAAAATACCACAAAAGGTCACTTTATTCCTGTTGCTTAGAAACAGCAGTCATTACTCTCAGAAGAGGAGGAGTATACTACTGGCTCAGAGGTCACTGAGGATGAAGTGGGGGATGATGAGGAAGCATACAAGAAACCAGGTATAATTTCTGTCTGTTACAAGATGCCTTCCTTGGTAATTAGGGATTAGCTACAAGGCAGAAATTTTTGGTGGATTTTGTTTTGTAATAGAACTTCAGGTAGAAATAAGGTAAACACTATCACAAAAAAATCTCACTTGAATTTGTTTTTAGGTTTTCTTTTCTCTGAGGTATATATTCAATACTGTATACAGATTAACCTGTATTCTTTCATTCATCACCTCCAACAATAAATACTCTTACAAACGGGAAAGTACGCATCCAATGTTCTCATACTCAGAGATGCATGAAAGCTGTATTCTGTATGGTCTATTTTATTCACTGAAAGGCCTGCTATCAGAACTGTTTCACACCTTCCATCATCTCCTTTGCAGAAATTAGGCCTCATGGCACTAGCCACATAGCTGTGTCTTCTACAGCAGCATTTGCAGTCACTGGTTATTGATATCTTCCTTCTATTGGTAAGGATCAGAAGTGAAAGACAGGCTGCCTCAATTCACCTAAGATTGCACTAACTCCTAACCTGCAGTCTCTCTCAGAGGGTATGTCTACACTAAAGCGTTAATTCGGTTAACTTAATTCGAAATAGTTAATTCGAATTAAGCTAATTTGAATTAACGCATCTACACACAAAACCTATTTTGAAATAGCGTTTTGCTATTTCGAAATAGCGCATCCACACTAAGTGGACCCTGAACCGAAGTTAAGGCTGGCCAGAACCAGTGCCGGCAGGGCATCAGATTAGGACTTAGTGTGTGGGGCTGCTGCCTGAGGCTAACTGAGCTCTGTGCTTAAAGGGACCATACCCTCACCCCAGACAGACAGTTCTCAGGGTTCTCTGCTTACTTGTCTACCTCAATGAGGGACAGCAAAGCAGTCCTGTCTTGGAGTGCCCTGAGTGCCTGCGCTTGGGACACCACCGCACTCGGCCACATGGAGCCAGAGCTGCCCCTGGGCATGCCGGTGCATCTTGCGGGGTTGTTGCCATCAGCCCGGCTGCACTTGCTTCACGCTGCCATCCAGGGGCTGTCAGGATCCAGGAGGCTCTGAGGGAGAGCATCCATGCCGAGGAGCCCTCAGAGCCACCCCGGTCCTCCCCACCAGGGACTCGTGCCCCATTCCTCCCTCACGTCCTTCCACTTACCCCTCCCTAGGCCCCCTTCCTGATGTCAAACAAAAGACACGTATGTTCAGAAACAGGAACTGGATTTCTTGAACAAAACTGGGGGGGGAGATAAATCTCTGGGGAGACTGGGAAAAGGAGGTGGGAGAGGGGAAGAGACGGTGGGAGAGGGGAGGGGGAAACCTGGGAGGAGGGAGCTGGAATGGGGAAGCAAGGCGAAGAAAGGGGAGGGGAAGCTCAGGGCCCAGGGTTGGGGGGTCTCGCCATACCAACTTGATTTTCATGCAAACCTGCTCCTGGGTTTGAATATGGCCTTTGGTGCCCTGCCATAGATGGCCATGTTCCTCCGTCTAGTGCGGAGATCATGGACGTTGGGGACATCCCCCCGCAAACCCAAATAAGGTCCATGATCTCCACCCTGGACCAGGAAGGCGCTCGCCTTCTCCGGCCCCTGTCAGGCTTCTGGGAGTTGGCAGACTGCTCTGGGGAGCGGTGGAGGGTTGGCTGCCAGTGGCTTGCTGGCTCATGTTTTGGGGCCACTGGGTCAGGGGCCCCGGTGGTCACTGCTGGCTCTGGGCTGGCAGGCTTGGAGCTGGCACAGGCACTGTGGCCACGGTCTACCCCTTTAATGTCTCCGGGGCTGGGGGAGAGGAGAGTAAGTTTTCCTGGTTGTGCCCAGAGTGGCCACCAGGGCTCTCTGGGAAGGGCTGGAGGCCCCCTATTTTGAATGAAGTGGCTACACAGCACTTAATTCGAAATAGCTATTTCAAATTTGGTGTTACTCCTTGTAGAATGAGGATTACCAAATTCGAATCAAGCACTCCACTATTTTGAATTAATTCTGAAATAGCAGTTTGCATGTATAGACGCTATTAAAGTTAATTCAAAATAACTTGTGACCAAGTGACTGTTAGTTTCCATCCCTATGGATAGAGTGCAAAGAAGGGCCTTGTTTCGAAATTGAGTGGGTAGGAGGATGAGGGATTTTGGAAAAGAGGAGAGAGGGCTCTTATGGCCAAGAATAGAGAACTCTCTGCTGTTCTTGGAGTAGTGAGGATGGGGCGTGGAGAGAACATGGAGACTAGTGTTGACATGGATAGAGAGAGAAAAAATCTGAAAAGTGCTTCTTAAGAAGTGATGTCCTTGGAGAAAAGGAAACTAATTATGGTCCAGTATTATCTATTATGGGGGAAAGCAACTGAAAAAGACACATGGGGGTGGGGGGGGGAAATAGCCAAGATATGTAACAGAAAAAATCAGAGAGATAAAGAGAGGAAAGAAACCCCCAAATCAAGGGAGATGTGATAAGTGAAATTTCAATGTAAAAAAAGATGCAAAGTTCTTGTAAAATTCAGTTTTGATATTTGCTATACAGTGTGTGTATAATATACGTTCTCAAGAAGAATTTTGCTAATTTTCAACCATGAAACACTTCATTTGTTAGGAAGAATTCTAGAATGTACTAGTAAAACTTTATAAATCACATAGAATGTCTGCTAGTAAATAATGAAGTGTTAAAACCAAATTACTGTACATGCCATGAAAAAAAATGCCAAATTACATTTGTCGAGATCATAGAATCATAGGACTGGAAGGGACCTCGAGAGGTCATCGAGTCCAGCCCCCCGCCCTCAAGGCAGGACCAAGCTCTGTCTACACCATCCCTGACAGATGTCTATCTAACCTGTTCTTAAATATCTCCAGAGAGGGAGATTCCACCACCTCCCTTGGCAATTTATTCCAATATTTGACCACCCTGACAGTTAGGAATTTTTTCCTAATGTCCAATCTAAACCTCCCCTGCTGCACTTTAAGCCCATTACTCCATGTCCTGTCCTCAGAAACCAAGAGGAACAAATTTTCACCTTCCTCCTTGTGACACCCTTTTAGATATTTGAAAACCACTATCATGTCCCCCCTTAATCTTCTTTTTTCCAAACTAAACAAGCCCAGTTCATGAAGCCTGGCTTCATAGGCTTCTCTAGACCTTTAATCATTCTTGTCACTCTTCTCTGTACCCTTTCCAATTTCTCCACATCTTTCTTGAAATGTGGCGCCCAGAACTGGACACAGTACTCCAGCTGAGGCCTAACTAGTGCAGAATAGAGCGGCAGAATGACTTCACGAGTTTTGCTTACAACACACCTGTTGATACAACCTAAAATCATATTTGCTTTTTTTGCAACAGCATCACACTGTTGACTCATATTCAACTTGTGGTCCACTATGACCCCTAGATCCCTTTCCGCCATGCTCCTTCCTAGACAGTCGCTTCCCATCTTGTATGTATGGAACTGATTGTTCCTTCCTAAGTGGAGCACTCTGCATTTCTCCTTATTAAACCTCATCCTGTTTACCTCCGACCATTTCTCTAACTTGCTAAGGTCATTTTGAATTATGTCCCTATCCTCCAAAGAAGTTGCAACCCCACCCAGTTTGGTATCATCTGCAAACTTAATAAGAGTACTCTCTATCCCAATATCTACATCATTGATGAAGATATTGAACAGTACGGGTCCCAAAACAGACCCTTGAGGAACTCCACTTGTTATCCCTTTCCAGCAGGATTTAGAACCGTTAACAACAACTCTCTGACTACGGTTATCCAGCCAATTATGCACCCACCTTATCGTGGCCCTATCTAAGTTATATTTGCCTAGTTTATCAATAAGAATATCATGCGAGACCGTATCAAATGCCTTACTAAAGTCTAGGTATATGACATCCACCGCTTCTCCCTTATCCACAAGGCTCGTTATCTTATCAAAGAAAGCTATCAGATTAGTTTGGCATGACTTGTTCTTCACAAACCCATGCTGGCTATTCCCTATCACTTTATTACCTTCCAAGTGTTTGCATGACTTCTTTTTTTGGTCATTCATTTATTCAACTAATTTATTCAACTTATTTGCAAAATTTTTCAACTTGCAACTGATCTTCCAGACACTTTTGGACATTAGTGACATTTCTGTGATCATGCTTTAGTATTGTCTGAGTCAATTGAGATTGGTGCCCTGTTCTATTAAACTGTGTACAAACAGAAAATAAAGGACAGATCTTTTCCAAAGAGTTAACAATCTAAATAGACAAATAAAGGGTGGGAAAAGGGGTATAACATACAAGCAGAGTAAAGAGAGTGATGGCTGGTAAATGGCATGTTTATGACCACAGATTTGTTTATGTTGTTTCAATCCTTTTGGTGGGTTATGATAAGAAGGAATTAATTAGATGGGAAAACAAAGGAAGGAAAGGGGACAAACAGATTGGGCAATAATTTTTTGCAGGGGGCCACATAATGAATTTTGGTACATGGTCATGGGCTGGCTTCACCCCCAGAAGAAGCAGGAGCTGAGGACTAGCCTCACCTCAGAATTATCTGGGACCAGAAGCTTTGAAGTAAAAACACAACAAGGGGCTTGCAAAGACTGGCCCAGACACTGTCGCATTGTTTGGTAGCCACCCAAGGTTGCTGCAGCTATTTAAAGGCCCCTGCAGGTATAGCAACATGACTGGGAGCCCTTTAAATAGCCGCAGCAACTCTGGGCGGCTCCCAGGCAACATGGTAGTGGCAGGGCTGTGAGCCCTTTAAATAGCAGCAATTTAAAAGGCTTGTGGCTCCAGGCCCTGCCTATGTAGTGCTGCAGCAAGGAACTGTGAACCATTCAAATAGGATCCTGCTGCCTGAGCCACTGCCTGGAAATTCAGTGGCACAGGCAGCAGGCTATAAATAGAAAGCAGCCAGATGCAGTCCGCGATCCGGATCAAAGTGCTAGGTGGGCCGGATCTGGCCCCCTGTGTTGAAGAAATCAGTCTGCACAGGGCAGAGAAAGTCCAGAGTCAAATTTCAGAAGGTATCTCTCCTTGCATTCTTTGGGATGCATTCTGGGTATGCAGGTCTAAATTCTATTTAAAATAAGAAGTGTATATATTACATATTTCTTTGTATTCTAAACTTCAGCTCAGGCATGCTGCTTCTGGGAAGCATGTGAGTGGGTTTTGCATTTGTGCTTTGTGGATGTTTGTCCAATTTAATTTTTATCCACTCCATAGCTTTGCCAAAAAGGGAAAGTATCCAATCACTGTCTGATATGTGTGCGGGAATGTGGAAATCCCTATGCAGCCGGTGTGATTTAAATGTTCAGGATTATGTTTGCTACTAATTAGTGTTCTAATTAACAGGAAGAAAAGATAAGCCAAAAAAATTAATCAAACATCCAAAGAAGCAAGTTTCTTCACCTAGTGTTCAAAAAAAGGAGAAACCAATGGAGAAGGTAAATCTGAGATGCGAAATGGGCTATTGAACTTAATCAGTCTAATGAGGAATTTTTCTTTATTGCTAGCGCTAGTTTTAAAAACATTCGTGAATGTGGGTTTTTTATTTATTTTACAGTCAAATTCTCGAGATGCATCTCCATTCATGTAAGTATTTCTCCCAAGTCCTGAGTGAAACATCCTTCTTAGTAAAATACTACTGACAGCACTTATGTTTGTCTTTTGCCAGTGTGAGTATGCAGCAGAATAAGTGGGATGCTTCTAGATCACTGAGATTCAACCAAGATGCTCAAAGAGAAGATGGTACATTTTTATTGGTTTAGCTTTTATAATTAAAATTAGTTATATAGTTGTATAATTGATTTATATTTCAGTAAAGGACTCTGCTATTTTGAGGCTGAGTGTGCCTTCTGACTGGTTTTATACTGGTATAACTATATTGACTTGTTTGGACTAAGTGAGAAGAGAAGTGGGTTCTTTATGACTTCAAAAACTATATTATGAAACTTGCCTAGGTTAAATTTTAAATGCTTATTGGAAGTTACAAAAAAAATACTGGAAATGATGGTAAACGACACTATCATTTCCAATCTGGAACTTAATCTTCTTTTACTAATAACACAAGCCCAATGATATTTTATTCAGTCATATTAGCAACTATGCATGAATTTTGGGTCTTATCTCTCAATATAGCTTTGCAAGAGCAAAGAGATTATCCTTTGCAACAAAAGGCTTATGACCGAAGGAAGGCATGATTCTGATCTTAGTCTTGACTGTGTAAAACACAAGTAATTCCTGAAGCCAATATAGGTTGAACCTCTCTTGTCTGGCACCCTCGGGACTTGACCAGTGCCTAACCAGAGAATTTGCCAAATCATGGGATGTCTAGCAGCATTACCGGTGCTTCCACTGCTTACTGGGCTCTTAAGAGACATTTAGGGGTATATTAGAGTTAAATAACAGCACAGAACACAGAGCCAGGACTTGTGGCTATAAACAAACTTTATGGGACCATGGGGAAACTTTGATACCACCCATAAGTGGACATCGAGCTAACTTAGTCATGCCAGACCATGGATGTCGCCTGACCAGAGTGGTTCAACCTGTAGTTACATTGATGTCCTAGCCTCTTCTCACCCCGGGAACTGATCTCCACCTGATGTAAATTTGTGCAGTTCCACTTAATAGAATGAACATGTGCTGATTTGCAAAAGCTGAGGCTCTGCCTTATAGTGATGTATATCTTTTTAATTTTCTGTTAGCCCAGGTACTTTGAACTCAATTCCATGAAACATGGAAAAAACATTGCAGATGCTATCTCTAAACTGGACCTCTGCATGTATTCTCATATTCTGTAATCTAGAATTCATAGAATCATAAAATCATAGATCTGGAAGAGACCTCAGCAAGTCATCAAGTCCAGCCCCCTGCTCTAGGCAGGACCAATCCCAACTAAATCAACCCGGCCAGGGCTTTGTCAAGCCGAGACTTAAACACCTCTAGGGATGGAGACTCCACTACTCCCTATGTAACCCATTCCAGTGCTTCACTACCCTCCTAGTAAAATAGTTTTTCCTAATATCCAACCTGGACTTCTCCCACCACAACTTGAGACCATTGCTCCTTGTTCTGCCTTCTGTCACCACTGAGAACAGCCTTTCTCCATCTCTTTGGAACATCTCTTCAGGAAGTTGAAGGCTGCTATCAAATCCTCCCTCACTTTTTCGCTTCTGCAGACTAAAGAGACCCAACTCCCTCAGCCTCTCCTCATAAGTCATATGCTCCAGCCCCCTAATCATTTTGATTGCCCTCCGCTGGATCCTCTCCAATGCATCCACATCCTTTTTGTAGTGGGGAGCCAGAACTGGACACAGTACTCCAGATGTGGCCTCACCAGAGCCGAATAAAGGGGAATAATGACATCCCTGGATCTGCTGGCAATGCTCCTCTTAATGCAACCTAATATGCCATTCGCCTTCTTGGCTACAAGGGCACACTGTTGATTCCTATCCAGCTTCTCATCCTGTAACCCCCAGGTCCTTTTCTGCAGAACTACTACTTAACTGGTTAGTCCTCAGCCTGTAACAATGCTTGGGATTCTTCCATCCCAAGTGCAGGACTCTGCACTTGTCCTTGTTGAACCTCATCAGATTTCTTGTGGCCCAATCCTTTAATTTGTCTAAGTCCCTCTGGACCCTATCTCTGCTCTCAAGCGTATCTACCTCTCCCCCTAGCTTAGCTTCAGCTGCAGCCAATCTTTGTTATGTTACACAATAACTTCAAAGTCTTCTTGAAAACACACAATGTTCATGCAGCATGGGTGGCACTCTAGGCAATGATACCTGAGGATCATATTAGCACTGGTCTCTTCTTTCCCACAGGAGAAAAATGTGTTTTGTTACAGAGAGAAAATAAAGAGAAAATAATTAATCAAGTCATGTGCTGAAAGATTGACTAATGCAAATAGATAGTTTGGGTCTCATGGCAGGAGTAATCTTTGGAGGAAGTGAGAGAGAAGAAAAATATCTTGGCTGTGGGTTTGTATTTTTAGTTTGTTTTAAATGGCAGCTGTTTGGCATATCAAAACAGGATATGCAGAGAGAGAGTCTAAGGGACAGGTGATGTGGCCATAAGTATGTGATAATTGCCTCGGCAAGTAAATGACACAGGTATGTGATAAGTTGTTTATCACATGGTTATTGCTTCTACATATATGCTGTGTGAATGTCTCTCTCCCTATCTCCCAATTTATAATGAAGTAAGATCATGCTTTTTCTGTATTGCTTTTCCTTGCTCCAGTATGGAGTTGAAAGCTCTGGTCTCGGTAAACTACCTACCGTATTTTCCGGCGTATAGGGCGACTGGGCGTATAAGACGACCCCCTATCTTTTTAATTAAAAGATAGGGTTTCATCTTATATCCCAGCGCCCCTCCGCCTCCTTTGCTCCCGGTGTCCCTGGTCTGCTGGAGATAGTCCCCAAGTCACTATTACTGTCCTGATCAGGTGGTCAGTAATACATTCATACTACTATATTCTTATTATGGGAGCATGGAATTACTTTCCATTGAGATTCTATGGAACATTTAGGGTCATTAAAGATTTTTATTTCATTTGATTCTACATTTTCTTTCACGTATAGTGTCACTCCCCCCATTAGCATGGCCTGTTCTGTCCTCCTGATATATTTTGTACCCTGATACGACTGTGTGCCATTGATTGTCCTCATTCCACCAAGTTTCTGTGATGTCTATTATATCAATATTCTCCTTTAACGTGAGGCACTCTAATTCACCCATATTATTTAGACTGCTAGCATTTGTGTATAAGCACTTTAAAAATTTGTTACTATTTATCTGTCTGCCATTTCCTGATGTGTTAGACTCTTTTTCATTTGACTGTTTCTCATCTGATCTTACCCATATTTTATCATCTTACATCTTTCCTTACTAGAACATAGAAAATCTCTATTAATAGACCCTCCCCTAAGAGATGTCTCTGTCCAATCCATGTGTTCCTCCGCACCCGTTAGCTTTCCCCCACCCTTTTGTTTAAAATTCACTTCACAGGACTAGAAGTGAAGCTGGCCTCTTATGTCTTCTCTGAAATCACGAGGAGCCAAGCAAAATCTGACTTTTAATTGGCAACAACAGGTTGCAGAAATAAGCTGTTTATTGTTACTAGTTGGTAGATCATCAACTGCAAATTTCTAAGATTAACAATCCTGGATTTTCTTCTGACTTAATGGAGGTGAAATAGCTTCTTGCTATTCTCCATTCTCTTTCATTAAAAAAAATACCCATATTTTTCTTATACTGAAATATGCAAATATTTCAACAATTTGACTCGATTAGCAAAAGGAGTAAGAAGTTGCTGTAGATTAATTTCTGAATGGAAATAATAAACAGTTGTCTGCAGAGGGCAAAGGGTGGCTGTGTTCTGCAGAATCTAATTTGCTAAGCTTTGCAAGTTAGACCAAGACGACTGAATATATGTGAAGTTTTTACCAGCTTTCTGTTCTCTGCTGTTCCATAAATGGATGCAGGATAAAGCTATTCAATTAAGATAAGGTACCGTATATTGTTCAGAAATATATTATGTCCTTTTAAAGGTACATTTCTGTATTCTCATCTTTTTTTGAAGTTTTCTTTGTCTTTCTTTGAGGGGATGGTTAGAGGGAAGGAAAAAAAGCTCTGGTTACTGGCTCTCATTCAGCTCAGAAATATTCTTTGCTATGCAAAAAGTGTTTTTAAAACATAATATATTAAAATACTATGTGTACTTCTTTTGACCCCAGCTTCAATAGTAGTATAAATATATCATATTTCCATTAATAGTGTTAATCCTCTCCTTTTGTTTGAGATCTAAATTTTGACCACTTTGACCAAAGACAGAAAACAGAATACCTATTACAATACAGTAGATCTATTGTATTATACAATTCATGGCTCATGAATGAAGACAGACTTACAATTTTAATCACTCCTATTCCAGACATCCTAAATTCCTTCTTTATTTGCATAAATGATTTGCACAGAAGAAAATATGTTTTTAAAATGTCCCATATTTGCCCACCTATAGTTCCTCTGCATTACAGTATACATTACTACATAAACATTAGATAATTTGTCCTCATAACACCTCATAACATAATAAATTATCTTCATTTTATAGGTGTAGAGAGAAGTCACTCACTGGTACTAGAGATTGCAACTGAACCCAATTCTTGAACCCAATTCTTGTGTGTCCTAAACCAGAGCAAGACTCTAATCACCAAGTCACCTTCACCTTCCAAGAAATTGAAAAACACAAGTTTGAGCACTTTGCAATATGCAATAATTCAGTGACAATCTATAATAGCTCTGATATGCACCAAACTGCAGCACCTCTGGTACTTTCAACATTAAGGTCTGTACAGTGAACAGTGGTCTGATTGCATCCTTGCCATCATAAACTTCTGGTCCTAGAAAAAAAATGTTACTTCTCTGTTCAGGCAAAATCTCACAAATAGTTTAACAGGTAACATTACAGACTGGGAGCGAAATGAATTGTTCATGTTGGCTGAAGTGCCTTGTTATGACAGTATCTCCAGCAGGGCCCAAGCCTGAAAAACATTCAGACATAACACAAGATCCTGGTCCACATTTTTTAGAAAGCTTCCCCTCAAGAGTAAGTCAGAAAAATGGGAAAATAATACAGGGAGATTGCACATGCGCGCCTGGGATGCCCCCCCGCCGGCTTCCCCCGAGGCTTTCAAAGCCGCGGAGGGGCTCCGGCGGCGGGGCATCCGGCGTACAAGACGACCCCCGATTTTTGGGGGATGTTTTTTAACTTCAGAGGTCGTCTTGTACGCCGGAATATACGGTAGTTTCTTTTGCTTTTCTATTTCTTTTAAAAATCTGTGCTGCTTCAAAACCATTCTCTTAAATCTGGCAGTAGAATGAATGTAGATAGATTCCTGCCCCTGCCTGAAGCCCATGTGAAGCTGCTTTACACTACAGAATCAGGGCCTTACTTTGGATTGTAGTGGCTTGTGCTTTCCACATAAGCAAAGAACAAAGCCACTCATTTCAATGGATTGTTAGTAATAGATGCATAATCTTTTTCTTCATGAACATGGCTCTTCAGCTTGACAGTAGGAATATTTAGAATATTGATATCCCTTTTATTACTTGCAGATCAGCGAAGGATGTGTGAGATTACAGGGCACCTAATAAAAATGAGATTGGGAGACTTGGACCGGGCCAAGTCAAAGGAAGCCAAAGAAGTAAGATTTTATACTATGGTAACATTACTGTGATATTTTAGGCAGATCTCTTGAACTTATGCATTTTCAGTATCAGAAAATGAAGATGTAGGTTTTCTTAAAGGTGTCTGGAAGACTTAAGCTTTAAGATGAACTTGATCAGGTTTTTATAGTTTAAAGAAAGGTAGTCAGGTGATTACAAAAATTAATGATTCAATTAAACAAAAATAGAAAACCATTTATTTTCTACATTTTTAAATATTTTGGTTTCAATTACAAGAGTATTCAAAGTGTATGGTGCTAACTTAATATTTGTAATAAAAATATACATTGTAAAATGTATTTTTCAATTCATGTAATAAGTATTGTAGTGTGATCTCTTTATCATGAAAGTTGAATTTAAAGTTTATGTACAGAAAATATGGCATTTAAATATAAAAGCAATGTAAAACTTTAGAGCCTATACAGTCCACTCAGTCCTATTTCTTGTACAGCCAATCACTCAAACCAACAAATGTGTACATTTTCAGGAGGATAATGCTGCCCATCTCTTGTTTACAGTGTAATCTGAAAGTAAGAACAAATGTTCTTCTGGCACTGTTTTAGCCAAAGTAGTAAGATATTTACATTCCAGATACAGATATTTTGTGTGTGTCCTTTCATGCTTCCAACAACCATTGCAGAGGGCATCCACGTTGATGATGGGTTCTGCTAGATGACTATCCAAAGCAGTGTGGACTGATGCAGAGCCCCTAGGCTCTGATGTTTGAGGGGAATGTGGAGAGTGTCTTTCTCCTTCTCAGTCAGTGGCCACATCATTGAGGGTTTGGGGGGGGAGTTTCCTTTATGCTGCTCACTTGTGTGCAGCCCCCAACAGATTTTTCTGTGGGTCAGTGACCCCTGACCCAAAAAAAGATTCCCCATCCCTGCTATAGAGTTTGCACTACAGTGCTTGTAGGAGGTGAATTAAAAAATACTTTTTTGTGTGTGTATCATTTTTACAGTGCAAATACATGTAATCAAAATGATAGTGAGCACTGTACACATTGTCTGCTGCATTGTAATTGAAATCATTATTATATTTGAAAATGTAGAAGAACATCCAATAATAATAAATACATTTCAATTGGTATTCTATTGTTTCAATTAAAACTGCAATTATTTGTGATTAATTTTTAAATAATAATAAATACATTTCAATTGGTATTCTATTGTTTCAATTAAAACTGCAATTATTTGTGATTAATTTTTAAAATTTAGTTTTTAGGCTTTTTTAAGTTAATTGCGTGAATTAACTGCAATTCATTGCTCTCCCAAAGTTTTTAAAGTGATTTTTTTCCCCCTTCTCCCCCCCCCTCCCCCCAACACACTTGGTCAGAAAAAGTTTCTAAACGTCACTACTTCAAAACCTTTTGACCCTGGAAATAGGATGGGTTGGAGGGACTCAGTATGAGACACTGGGGCTATGTCTACACTGCAGGCTTCTTGCACAAGAACAGCCACTCTTGCGCAAAAACTTGCGGAGTATCCATAATACAAGCCCGTTCTTGCGCAAGGCAGTTAACAGTAGGTTGTCAGAAGAGAGGGCTTTTTGCACAAGAGTTATTCCTCTCCCCACAAGCTCTTGCGCAAAAAGGCTAGAGTGGATGGGAACAGGGGTTTCTTGCACAAGAAACCCAGATATGGTCATCAGAGCTTTCTTGCGCAAGAGAGCGTCCACACTGCCATGGATGCTCTTGCGCAAAAGCACATGGAAGTGTGGACGCACATGGAAGTGTGGGGACACACTTGCACAAGAACTTTTTGCACAAAAAGTTCTTGCACAAGAAGCCTGCAGTGTAGACATAGCCTGGGAGTACTGCAAGATGCAAAGTCTTTATGGCTCGTTCTTAATCAAACCAACATCATGGTTACTGTGCACTATTGCAAGCTCATGCATCTTCACTTTGGGGCTCTAGGAGAATGCAATATGATATTTGCTACATCCATTTGGAAAAATAGTTATCTGAAAACTAACAGCTTTTAGAAAGTTGCCAATGAAACTGGCATAGCTAAATTATTTGATTTTTTTTTCCCTCCTGTATTGCAGCATGCAGGTGGCATTTACTCTAGACTTGAAGCTCAGATAAAGGCTTCAGCGCAAGTCAGTGCTCGCCAAAATAGCACAGAGAAAAACACAAAGTAAGTTATTTAAGTAGCAGAAAAAGCTAGGATGTGTGTTTAGGGCTTTTTTTGTTTTGTTTTGTTTTTTCCTTTCGAACTCTTGCTACATATCAGCACTCAGTATGTACAGTGCATCTGGAGGTAAAAATCACCCTTGCTCCACTGAACTTTGTATGAAACCAGGAGAAAGGCATGTGCACAACCCACCCTTGCAGAGTTATGGTACAGCCCATCTGCAGCACGTGGGATAGAAGAGTGACTGCCCCACCCTAACCTATTTGGAGTTTTGGATTTCTGGATCAATAGCCTTACAGATCTGCTATCTTACAGATCATTTCCCTGTCTACTTCCAAAATTTCTCACATCATCACCCTGCTTCAGTCTTCCAAAGATCCTTTCTTATGTGAAGATCAGGAAAAAAATCAGAGAGGTGACATTTTGTATGCCAGGGATTAGTCTGGAGCTGTAGTTCTGCTCAGAACTTGGTGGTCAAGTGGTGGATTTTAGAACTAGAATTTTATAATGGATCTATTGATGGCCCTTTCTTAACCAGAGCTAGAGCATGCCTAGTGTGCTGTGCAAATTGGTATGATTTCATTTCATATTGAAACCTGTAAGGAGTTGCTGTAACTCTGTGCATCTTCACGCATGCACGTGTATCTCTGTACTTCTGTGGGGCTTTCTCTGAAAAGCAGAGATTTGATGGCCAATCAATAATATTTATCTTTTTATATGAGGATACAGACTGGCAACTAGAGACGCCATTATAAAGGGATAATGAATGTAACAGTATAATGTACTGTTTCTTCTTTCTGTTGTACTTGAATGTTTAAGGTTAGGACTTTGACAGAAATCGTAAAACAGTTTCTTACATGCAGTGAACTATCAAACTATTATAATTAGTAACAATCATGTATCCTGACAAAAAGTGCCTTCACATGTGTATGTACTAATTTATTTTAAATCCAGGTCTAAATCTCGCTTCGGTCAAGGCCGTCCAACCTAAGGAACCTCAGGGAGAAACCATAGCCAGAATTCATTGCTGCTTCCTGGAACTGTACTGTATGCCAATATGGAGAATGCATTCTCCAAAAGCTTTTAAGTGACTTATTTATTATTTATTACTGTAAGCCATGTAAATTATCCTGTTATGATGAATGAATGCAAAATGCAGAAAGGTGAAATACTCATTTTAATTGTAAATACAGTTTCTTATATTGCTTTTTAGGCTATTGTGTTAAGCTACATAGAAAACATTTTATAAACCTGCAAAGTTAAAACATTTGAAAATCCTTGCTTATTGAAGAGTAGTGCTTACAAGCTGCTCTATATCATCACTTTAACTGCTAGACATTTTAAAATGAAGAAACTACTGAATTATAAGTGCAATCAACAATGTTTAAAATGCATCATCTAATACTGTGATTTGAATTATACATTTTGGTTTCAGTCTGAGGATGATCTAATCTTGCTTATACTGGTTTGACTCATGTAACTTCATGGAATTACTCCTGATTACTCCGTGGAATTACTTCTGATTGACAAGGATTTAAGTGAAATCAGAATCGGGCTTCTCTCCCCATGCCCACACAACTTCCACTTATGGTAAGGTGAGCATCAAGGGGGAGTAGACCTCCAAAGATCACATGAAATGAACCTACTGAAGGTATAACTTTGCATATTGCATGCGGCGTTCATTTTTCTCAACTTTACTGCATGGAAACAATATGTTTGTTCCTATTTTGATCCTCACTCCTCTTCTGCATCATACAGTTCTTTGTTTTCTTTTGTCTGAATTTACGGGCATAGTAAAGCAGTTTCTTCCTTTTAGTAATACCAGTGTCACTGTAACTTTGCTAGCGGAGGTGATGCATGTTCTGTACCTTTTGAAATGAAAGGAAATCACTTTGAGGCATCTTGCCTATGTGGATTTGGGCTGGGATGTTCCTAGACCTTCCTGAATAATCCTATTTGGCAATATAATGTTCTGACATGGAATCTGGAATTACCATGTTTGCTTTAGTGTGCAGTCCAGTAGTACCACAATGGAACAACTTGCCTAGGAAAAAATGTGTTTATTCAAAGAAAATTGCAATAAACCAGTATTTTGAAAATATCATTCTGATTTTTCTAACCAGGCGAAAAGAGCACTCAGGGAAAACTTGTGCCAGACCATAATCATTCAATAAAATGTGTGTTTGGAAATAAGTTCAAAATCTCTGGGGGAAAAAATTCTTCCTTAAAATGTATGGTCTCTATTTGCAGGCCTTTTTTTTTCCTTTTTTCTAGAAGTTTTCTAATAATTGGAAATTAGGCATAATGATTGAGAGAGGATGTAAGGTCATTAAAAACTGTATTAGCTCTGTTTACATGTGTTCCTCCAAGTTAATATCTATCCAAAACTCACTGAAACCAATGGAAGAACTTCTATTGACTCTGGTGACCTTTGGCTTGTGGCATGATTGGTAGGTTCGCAACAGTGCTTTATCTTATATTTTATTAAAGACATGGCTTTAGCAAAACCCATGGTTTGTTTGCAAAAAAAAATTTTGCATTTTAGAAGTTAAATGTTTTATACTAAATATTATTTGAAAAATTAATTTTCTTAGAAAATGGTTTACAATTCACTGTGTAAAAATGTGTTCTAGTTTACTAGCTTCTCTGGAAGTCTCTCTAAAGCTGTACATGTAAACTTTGCTAAAAAAGTTGCAAATTGAACAAGGAGAGGGCATGTGTGTGTGTCTAAAAGATTTCTTAGAACTTTCAAAATATCATTTTATGTGCCATTATTCTTCATAATATTGTATTCAACGTGTGCTTTCTCTTTTTTATAAACATGTGTCTGTAATGTAGGTAGTGGAAGTGTAATTCAAATTGTTTTAAGTATTAATAGTATTTTCTTTGACAAATTCCATTAATTTTTATCCTGAATTAATTTTGAAGTCCTATCTCAGTTTTACTGAAATAAATGTTACTGATTTAAAAGCAGTTTGTTTTTAGTAGACTTGCAAGAGCCAAATAAATTATCTAGTGGGAAATGTTATTTGTTTCAGATCATAATGATTCTTTTATGTCCTGTCCCTTCCTCAGATACTTAAACATTGTCTCCCCCTTGTTTTTTAAAGTAGCTGCATAACACTTCTTGAAGCATTGTGGTACAGACTTCCTACCCAAGTCCTGAGAGCAGAATTAAATTTACTACACAGACAATACAAAGTATCCTGCTGTTGAAGAATTATGCAGGTCTATAGGCCAAGATCAAAAGTCCTAATGGAAAGATCCATTGACTTCAACAGGCTTTCCTGTAGGCATCATGTGTGCCTTTTATGGGAAAGACTAAAAAGTGCAAAAGTCAAACTAAGCCACAGCCAAAAACATTATTAACTTCATCCTCTAGTTACAGGGTACTGATCACGTTTGCAAATGGGCAAACATAACTTAACAATATGAGCATAGAATAGTCAATGCTGAGGTGCTTGTACGTAGGTGAGAAGTGCTCCTCCTTCTGTACCAGAGTCCCAGCACCAATCACCATGCCTTGAAAAATGCATAAAAAACAACTTGCCAAAAGGGGACAATTCCCAAGATGGCCAGTCCTGGGGAGCAGAGTAGAGTGCGATGTAAGTCAAAGCAATACTCTACATCTCTGCCACAGAATTCAACACCAAAATGTGAGAATAGACTGATGTAGAAAGAGAAGAATTTCCACAGCCAGTGGAAATTCCTGGACATGTAACCTCACCTGGGCTATGTTTAGACTACGGAGTTTTCCCGAGATACCAGAGTATCAGAGGGGTAGCCGTGTTAGTCTGAATCTGCAAAAGCGGCAAGGAGTCGTGTGTCACCTTATAGACTAACAGAAGTGTTGGAGCATAAGCTTTTGTGGGCAAAGACCCACTTTGCATCTGACGAAGTGGGTCTTTGCCCATGAAAGCTTATGCTCCAACATTTCTGTTAGTCATCAGACGTATCCCGGAAACTCAGCCACATCCAGGGAATGCATCTGCTCTTCTGACATTTTTTGCAGAAGCCCTGATACGCTCTTTCGGAAGCCCTGTCTTTCTCATTTTATTTCCAAATAAAATTTCGGAAAAGCCTCTTCTGACAAAACTATCAGAAAAAGGTACGCAAATTGCAGAGTGCAATTTGCGTACCTTATTCTGATAAAATTCCGTAGTCTAGGCATAGCCCTGGTGTACAAGAGGAAGAAAGTGGCCTTAAATCTGGGCATACAGGTAGAGGTAGAGTCCTCCCACAGTCTAGTTAACATTTGTAGCTGCTATTGGCACTTCAAAAGTAGTCAATGACACCCTGTTAAGACCTTGTAGCAGATAGGGATCCCTTCCCACCTACGTAAAAAAATGTCCAAGTCAAAATACTTTTGTTGTTGTTTTTTTTCCTCCTCAGGGTTCCTGTCTAGAGTTGAGTTCTTTTTATATCCATTCCTTTCCCCCTTCCCCACCACCTAGAATTCCTGGTGGTTTCTGTTGCCAATCAAAGGGAAAGATAGGATCATCAGGGTACAACCCCAAAATCAAAAGATTCCTAGAAATTAACTTAGGTGGTAGGAAAGTATTCTACTGGGAGGTTACAACTCAGAATTGGAAAACCAGCATGTGCTGCTGGGCAAGTTTGGTTTAACTCGGGATGTAAGAAATAATTTAAAAAACCCCCACCATGTAACTGATTACATTTCAATCACACAATTAAATACTCTGCTGGCTGCTAGACCTGTGGGGTCCTGGTAAGGCCAAGAGTGTAACCAGCAAGGTTAACGGATAACCTAATGTTTATTGGTTAATGATTTAATCAATTCAACTGTAACATCCTGAGTTTTAAGATGTAGAACTTCATGCAGAAATTCAGAGACTTGCTCCCACAGGAGGCCAGACAAGAGTTCTCCTTGCTTGTGGACAGAGGCAAATCAATGGTAAGGGCCTGTTTACAAGTCCTTTTGGATGTAGTTGACTCGGCAGACAGGTATTTGTCTTTGGCAGTTGCCATGCACAGGAGTTTGTGGCTACCATCCTTAAAGAGGTCCAATAGTCACTTCAGGACCTACTTTTTGAAGGAGCTTCATTTTTTTGAGGATAGACTTATGCCAAGGTCATGGTCTGCATGACTTGGGAGTAACCCTTAAGTCCCTTGATCTGTACACCCTAGCTTCTTCAAGGAAGCCCTAACAGCAGGCATGTCAAACAGGCCTCTGGAGGTCCACGAGGCCCAATTGAAACGTTTTGCGGCCCGTCACTATATTTTTATGAAAGAATAAAGTGTGGCCCACTGGCTGCTCAAAGCACATGACCGAGTGCAGATCACAGCCAGCCAGCTGTCTGGGCTGCTCTGCGCATGGCACCCAGCACATGCTCATGGCCAGCCGGACCACTCTGCATTGGGTGCTCCAGCACATGTGCTCACTGCTCGGCACCACAACAACTTCTCATGGCCGGCTGGGCTCTAGCACATGGTCACGGCCGGCTAAGCTGTTCTGCGCTCACAGGCATCGAGCACCTGCTCACAGCTGGCCACTGTGCTCATGCCACCGTAGCATCTGAGGAGGAAATGTGTGGAGGCGGTGGCTCTGGGACTGAGGCATTAGGTTGGGGGGCCTGGGAATGCCTGGCTCTGGGAGAGGGATGAGGGGGATTGGGTTAGAATGGGGGTATGGGAATGCCTGGCTCGGGGGGGAAGAAGGGGGATATTTTGTTAACATTGTGTTTGTTTATTTATTCCAAAATAAAATCACAAAATGTATATTAATTTTATATCAATAAACATCAGTTTTTTGCAACTGCATGAATATTATGTTTATGCAAAATCTCAAACTTACTAAGTATCTGAAATTTTCACAGAAGCCTGTTCTATTTGATTAACCATGCTCTATACTTTGTTTTTATTTCAACAAAAGTTATGTATCATATAAAAATCTTAAAAGTACCTTAAATTTATATTTAAATTAAAAATTATTGTATATGGGCAAATAACAATTTTACACATCAAATTATGGTATTATATTAAAACAATACCTGAAAATTTATAAAATATACCTAAAACATAATGTATAATAATAAATAATTATGACTTTCTGATAGCTTGCAGGGTCACCAACGAAAATGTACTTCTATCAGTTTTTGTTTGTGCGGCCTTCAGTAGGCTTTGAATTTGACATGCCTACCCTAGAGGCCTTAATAGCATCTTTGGATAGTCTGCTCCAATTGCCCATCAGGATCTGCAGAGGAAGAGAAGCATCAGTTTCACGTATAGGCTACCACCACCTTCTACTTAGATGTCAATGCCTTTCCCATCCAGACACCTGGATGGTCTAAGAAGACATTTTTATAGGACATTGGCGGACCCTATACCAGTTGCTGTGATGCCAAACCCTGTGGCTACGTCTACACTGGCATGATTTTCCGGAAATGCTTTTAACGGAAAAGTTTTCCGTTAAAATCATTTTCGGAAAAGCGCGTCTAGATTGGCAGGACGCTGTTCCGCAAAAGCACTTTTTGTGGAAAAGCGTCCGTGGCCAAACTAGATGCGGTTTTCCGCAAAAAAGCGCCGATCGCCATTTTCGCGATCGGGGCTTTTTTGCGGAAAACAGTACTGTGCTGTTTACACTTGTTAGGAAAATGGTGGGCCTTGAAGGAGAACAAGGCAGGGAAGGAATGGAAAAAATTAAC